GTTCTGAATGCTGTACATTGTATACTATATTTCACACACATCTGAGTTCAACTTGTGTGCCAAACAAATCACAATACAATAATCTTTATAAAAAGAAAAAACGTTTCACGATTTGCTGCACATTCAACGCGGATGGGTTCTGAAAACCGTTTCTTCAATAGAATTCCAAGAATTCAAGTGAACGTTTTTTCTTCTATCATTTTTTAGACCGATTCATGTATTCTCACCTCACGACGGTGCGCCTGTTTATGGCCTGATTTTCATCAACGCTGATCATGAGGATAGTGATGCACACGAGAGTACCAGGTAGGTGTATTGATTTATTTTTCAAACAGGTACTCCTAACCACATCAGTTTACTTTCGTTGAAGGTTTTCGAGAGAGAGAGAGTTAGTTGTTTTTATTCACTAGTTTTAATTGAGTTCAGGATAATTATTTTCACATGCATGGAAGCGAAGAGAATGTGAAACCCAAAACGTTAGAAAACACTACTGTACAGCTATTTCACCCGTTTTGGGGTCTCATGATACTTCACTACTCGCATGCCACAAGAAATCAGGTGCAGCATGTTTCCAACCACTCCCTAACGATGGGGAGATGAGGGAAATGCGATGTCCGCAACAAGCCCTGAATAAGCAAAGTGAAACAGTCCATTCAGTGGTCAATTGGTCAATTCGCTTTCGTTCTACCTGTGCTGACATTCCGTATTCGATCGATACTGTTAATGATATCTGACAAGGTCGAAAGAATTGTGTTGTGTCTACTCGTGCTTTTCAGTAGACCTTTTTCGGTATTCAACGAATTTCATACAGTCAAGTTGAATCTTCCGCTTCTCACTAGCTTAAGTAATTCGTCTTACAATTTTTTATTTAAAAGGAACAGATCATATTTATGTTTAGGGACGATTTCGCTACATCTCAACTTGTGGCATGCTGCAGAAAACACAATATCTATGCAGGGCTTTAGCATTTTATTGAATATATATATATATATATATTTGACGGTATGAATAATGTTCAGGAAGAAAGAATCTGTTGATCAAAGAGCTGCCACACAATACCTAGAAAAGGGTCGTCCCCTGGAACGAGTAGTCAACCTCTATAGATTACGCTGGTTGGGGCATGTGTTACGCATGTCACCAGATAGATGGCAACAGCGAGCGATGTTTGCCGAGGCAGATAGCGGTTGGAAAAAGGTCAAGGGCAGTCAAACCAAGACCTAGCATGAGGGTATGTAAACCCTGACCAGGAGTCTGGGTCACATAGGTCCCGTTAGGCTTCCTGGTTGGGGACCCCGAGATCATGGTCACCGATAGTTAGAGACTGAGCGATGTGACTGGGTGTCGCAAACAGTGGCGCTCATACATCTACTCATTGTTCTCGTAACATCTATCTATGTGAATTCTCTATCTTCCACTTGAATTTGCTCTCAACATTCCAATTTTCACTCTGCTGTTTTATCCAAATGGGCGGCCAAAAGGCAGCAACCAAAACCGGTGCACGAAATGGCACGGTTAGTGGTTGTAAACACTGAAAAAATGAATACTTAGAAAAAGGGGAAAGTTTGGCGGTGGTGGGGGTGGCGGGATTCGAATAACCATTCTCCGGGGTGCCTTCAACATCTGGATTTCTGTACCTTTCACTATTCGATTTAACAGACAGTGACAATGCTAACCTGTCTACTCACTAAACTAGCCAGCCATCTGACGCAATTTCACGCGAATGAAGATAGTTACGTGAGCGAGGTTGTTTCAGTCTATTCTATTTAAAAAAAAGTAAAACTCAATTCCGATACGGTCTCGCTTTTTCCCTCCCTCTCGCTCTTCCGGTATCATTTTCTCCCTCTCGCTCATCACATTCAGAGCAACCTGGAGTTATTTGCTCACGGGTGCTTCGTTTAATCGTGAACTGCGCATTTGGTCCTGTACCGATTGGCACTGTGAACAGACTGTGCGCTTTTGTGCGGCCACCCCAGTTGCAATCACATCAGACACCGGAGTGGCTACATTTATGCCAAATGCGAAACCCAGCATCATCATGGCCCTGGACCTAACCTCATCGGTGCTGGTCGCTTCTGATATTACACGACGGGTAAGTTAGTGAGGGCTGGCATCGATTTGACCCCGTTCACATTTTTGGCTCATTCGTTCATTCGTTGCGTGTACGGTTTACAACCGGAGGTAGCAACCCTCTTTTGTTGGTATCAATTCCACCACCAGTTTACACAACCATAAATCTTGCACTGTCGTAAAAAGCGGTTCTAGTTGCTGTCCTTTGGTCGCCCATTCTGGTCTCTCAATGAATCGTAGATAAATGTATGAGTGGGTGGTGGTGGCTCAGTGGTTTAATCGCCGTCACAGGCGTGCTTCGGGCCCTATAGTCCGAGGCCCGAGTTCCTCCACCGCCACCCAATTTTGGTGGTAGGCAACTTTGCTGTTGTCCGGTTCAATACCACACCTAAGAGGGTTGAGCCTTATGTGGTTTGCCACTCGGGGCTTGGGTTACCGGTTTCCATCAATGAACAGCAGGTCCTCGTGACTGTGGCTTTTTCCTCGTCTGCTGTTCATCACACTAAGGTGTGTAATAAAAAGAAAATAGCTAAGAGCGCTTCCACTATGGGAATACGCAAAGGAAGTAAACTATAAGTCTGCACGGAGAGTGATTCGTTTCACAAGGATCACTGTTTTAGACCGTGTGACTCAGTGCCTGTAGTCATTGATTAGGCTAGCCACGACCTCCCCAACCGGGAAGGCTATCTCGACTAATACCCGCCTCCCGCGGTTGGAGTTTTCATAACGTCGTGTCAAATCACCCACTATCCACCTCGGAAAACATTGCACAAAGTGGAAACCTATCTGGAATCGTGTGTAACATGCCCCAGAACAACCTCTGAAGATCAAGCACTTGCTTCACCACGTGGCTTCCATTATATTCACCTTGCCCTGGCCTTGCTTGTGTGGTNGATGGTGTTCAGACACCGTGTCTCTGCACCATGTCGGTTAGACAGTTTCCGCGTACACTGGTAACCTTAATGAGCAACCAAATATCGCGGTGATGTCAAAGGTGCCTCAAGTTGTCAAATGTCAACAGAACCTTGTGCTTGCGTGCTTGTACTTCATCTGAGACTCATCCTCCATGTTGGTTGCCCAAATAGTAACATTTATTCACTTTCTCTNTTAGAGTAAGACTGTGATTTCGACCAACCCGATGCTGTAACAGCATTTTACATTCTGAAAGTGCAAAACGCATGTCGAACATTGTACCCAATTTATAGACTTATGCAACAACAGTATTTCTCACTAATACTCAAGTCGTCCCCATGTATTTCCAGCCTTAGTCCCCTTAGTTCTCAATCTTCCTTCTACTCCTGCATCCAACTTAGCAACCTCGAAGCAGCACCGCATAAAAGTGCTTGGTTAATGGTTGTTTAAACTGAAACCAAACACTGACTGTAATGAAGAAATATACCTCCCGCGCACATCCTTTGAAAGCCCCTGTGTAGACGGGGTGGGTGTCTTGGGTTCCCACTGGTCATCCCTCCCTCGCACTTCACAAAATGCTCCCGTATAGGACTAAGCATCTCAAATAACCTCTGCTGAAGAAGCCCTACTCACTGCATTCTCGTGGTACAGGTATTTTCCCACTAAATTGAAGGGACGAAAAGCCAACATCCGGGGCTATAACCGGGTCGGCCAACCACTGGCAATTCACCTAATGTAGTCGGTTGAAAACCCTAATTCCAAACTAACCAAGAAGAGGCGTACGAACCACATTCACCCATACCTTGGTTGTGTCAGTGGTCATCGACTCGACTTGTCTTCAAGGTGTATTGGACGCCTTGGACGTTTGACCCCGTCCAAAGGGCGTATGATCCGATGAACTGGACACCAGCCCCCAATAGAGTACGGTTTTCGTACACTGCACCACTGCCTTTCAAGTCAGACCTTGGCTAGCCGAAGGCTCCGTTGTGGATTCCTCAAGAGAATCCGCCTGTCTTTGTCTGGTCAACATGACAGTATTTCGCCTACAAACAGATCATGGAACTTTCTCTTATAAAGATTATTGTACTGTGCTTTGACACACAGTCTGGCCTCAGACGAGTGAATTACATCCTTCAAGGTCCAACCCAATTCCGGATTTATATCAAGGAAAATAGCAGTGTTCATACACGGGTAGAAGTGAACAAGAATGATGGGTACAATTCTCAATTAGCCTGAGGCTGATTGAGATAGAGGTCAATTTCATACAAATGGATAAATGACAATAAGCCATTCAAAAACGATGATTTCTAGGCAACCGTAAATCCCGTAGAACTCAGTGTTGATAGGTTTTGGTTTAAGGTAGGAGCTGGGAACGCTGAACGTCAGGACGAAACTCCAAAACCAGAATGAGATGCCAGATGAATGAGACCATTCGGGTGAGAACGATCACAAGATGCTGTGATTCCAATGCATCGTGTGGTTGTGTGTGTGCACTTTCTAAAACCACTTACTTGAGCCCATTCAAGTCCAATTGAAGGAAACGTTGTGCACTCGAAGGGTGAATTTTCAGCAGAAATACTCAACGGGACTGGTGGGTTGAATCAAAAAGAACCTGCAGATTTTTCCTTATGACTCCAACCCCCGTAACAAATATGACCATTATTATTGAATGGATTTTCAGCCTACCTACCCATAGATATTTTACTACATCGGAGATTAAAATCACCCCGGATTGTTGACAAAAACTCTTATCACCGAGTTTATTGTTGGCGCTCGCGCACTGCCTAAAGCATCAAACAAGCCG